TAACATGCTAACATTATTAGCACAAGCCTATGGCATTTTATATGGTATAAATTAGCGTAGAGACGAGCTGAGATTTATATGAAGCCAGGATAAATCCAGAAGGATAAATCACACACAAGACTTAAAATTCTATTTTAGTAGAGACTTCACTGTCTTCACAATTTATTGTTTCTTATCTGTGAAATACAAGTAAATACTTGCTTTGTTTCCACTGAGGGAAATGGTTTCAGCTTACAGAAACAGACAGGAGATCTGTGTCACCGCGACGCTGAGCGTTAACAAGAATCATACTGGCTGGGACTTCGCCCGGGTCAACAAGATCCGCATCAGGTGTTGCGGAACCAGGGCACCCTGATTTGAAATGGGCTACTGGAACAAGATATAGATGGACTAGAGCAGACAATGTGGAACTGTTAGAATGCTACTATATAAGTAACCCCAGCGAGAAGGGGCTACATGCAAAGGATGTGGGATACATCAATCAATCAATCAATTTTATTTATAAAGCCCAAATATCACAAATCACAATTTTCCTCACAGGGCTTTACAGCATACAACATCCCTCTGTCCTTTGGACCCTCACAGCGGATAAGGAAAAACTCCCCCAAAAAAACCCTTTAACAGGGGAAAAAAAAAACGGTAGAAACCTCAGGAAGAGCAACTGAGGAGGGATCCCTCTTCCAGGACGGACAGACGTGCAATAGATGTCGTACAGAACATACATACATGGATGGATGCTTTGAAACCCAACATCTAGGCTGACAAAGAAACAACTCCAAGCCCAGTGTGCCAGCATCCACAAACAGCAACTGTTTTTGCAACTAGAGATTAATGAGGTACAAAAAACATGCTATGGCAAGGGGGAGCCAGGATGACAAGTCAAAGTGGGGATGTCATCATCATCCCCACATTCCACGATTGGGTACTAAGCCCCAAGCCCTTACAACACAGATTCCCTTACAGCAAGATTGAATGACCTGAGATTGAGAATAATGAATAAGACGGAATCATGGCAGCCAAAAGCTGATTACCAAGGCTAAGTGACAAAGTACCCTCTGAAAGTCTGCTAGATGATATGAATCCAGTACTACGTACTATCCCTACTAGGACCATAACTGAGACAATTCAGCTGATATACACCACAGCAACAGTGATTCTAGAGCCACAAAGAGCTTTACCCTCCATGGAGAAGGAGGCTGGAGGTCAAGATCAAGGTGACACAGAGAGAAGTTAGTCAACTCTCAGAGCTACAGAAAGGTGTGGGGGAAGAAAGGGATACCTAGGAAGTACAACAAACTCTCTATACCTGAGGCACTGGAGACTGCCAAGCAAAGGCTCACAGCTCTGGCTACCTACCTAAAGAGATACACAAGAGAAGAAGAAGCCAGGAGAATAAATAGGATGTTCTCTATTGAACCATCCAATGTGTACTCTCAGAAGCAAGGTAACACAAGAATAGATCCACCCAGGGCTGAAAATGAACAATACTGGAAGAGCATATGAAAGAATGAGGCATCACATAACACTGATGCTACGTAGCTAGTGGATGGAAGAGTAGACCACAGTATTCTCCCAGAAGAGAGCCAGTTACCATTATAACGACAGACATCCAAAAAAGAAAGAAGTAGCAGGTATGAAGAGCTGGACATCCATACCTACTGACTAAAGAAACCAACTGCACTCCATGAACACCTGACAGCACAAATGAACCAGCTGCTCATGGATGGGACACATCCAGAGTGGTTGATCCAAGGACAGACAGTCCTGATCATGAAGAATCCCCAGAAGGGCACAGCCCCATCCAACTATCAGCCAATAACCTGCCTCTGTACATAGAAACTTCTGTCAGGCATCATAGCTGCTAAGATCAATAGGCACATGGCCCAATACGTGAGCAAGGCCCAGTAAGGAATTGGTAGTAATACCAGTTGAGGCAGACACCAGCTACTGGTCAATAGAGCAGTACCAAGGTGATGCACTGCCCCTGCTATAGTTCTGCATAGGCCTGAACCTCCTCAGCCAACTTATCACAAAGAGTGGCTATGGATACGGGTTCTGAAGTGGAGCAACCATCAGTCACCTCCTCTAAATCTCTAAAGAAATCCTTCCAGTGGCTGAAAAAGGCTTAACTGAAAGACAGTACAGAAGCACCAATCATGATAGCAAAAGAACAGGCACTCAGTACAAGATCAATAGAAGCAGGGGTCTACCACACCAGACAGGACCCCAGGAGGAGTGGGAGGTGTCTTCCATTCTGACCTTTGGGACTTCCAGCCCATACTCAGTGCAGATGTTTCTGTACACTATCCCACCACTTGGTTGTGCCTCTCCATGTACGCTGGTCCTGCTTGCATATTACACCACCCATATGCTGGACCATTTCAGAGACATCTTTGCACAGCCTGCACTGCAGAGTCTACCACAGCAGATCAGACCCAATCTGATCTGCTGTGGTAGACTCTGGCCTCTATGGCTGTAGAGGTATGGAGTACAGTTAGCTTCTTCAGCCATGGATCATATTATGGCCCGGTGCTGTCCAGCTCTTCATCTTTGACCCTCTTTCCTTGATGTCTGCCATTGAGATGGTTAGTGGTTCTTGTTCAGGGAGGTTGCTCTGGCCAGCTCTTAGGTCCACTAGCAATTGGGCATGGGTATTGTGTGATGCTTCTCTTTCCCTTATGCCCTTCCAGTATGTTTCTCAGCTCTTGGTGGGTCCGACCTGCTGTTATTTCCCTGCCACTGAGAGAACACCTTGGCAGGTTCAATGGAGAACATCCTGTTTATTCTCCAGGCTTCTACTTCTTTGGTGTATCTCTTCAGCTTCGGGTGACTAGAGCTGTTCGTCTTTGTTTGGCAGTTTCAAGTGCCTCAGGAATGGCGAGCTTGTTGTATTTCCTTGGTACCTCTTCATTCACCACGTTACCACTGTGTAGCTCTGCTAGTTGGCTAACTTCACTCCATGTTGCCTTTGTCTTGGCCTCCAACTGTCTCTTTCATGGAGGGTGCTGGTTTTTATGTACCATGTCCATCTTTTATCCAAGCATCTCCAGGATTACTGTTGCTGCACTGTGAATCAGGTTGTTGGTCTTGGTGATGGTACTTGGAGGTATGGTATTTAGGACAGCATTCACATCTTCTAGCAGATCATCTGGAGGTACTTGGTAACTCAGCTTCGGGATTCGTTGGAGGCTCCAGGTTTCCAGTTTGCTCACAATCTGCCTTCTCAGGTCAGCTGCTCTTTCATTGAGGCTGTTTGTATCTACTGGGGCTTGGTACCCAATCTCGCATTGGTTTTTACAGCCAGGACACTGACCTGGCATTCTGGCTCCCCCTTGCTGTAGCATTGTTGAAGTATTTCATTGATATCTAGTTGTGATAGTAGTTGGCGGTTACGGATGTTGGAACACTGTGCTACCAGATGTTTCTTAGTTAGTTTTGATTGTGGGTTTCGAAGTATCCATAGGTCCCACATTCTCTGCATATATCCCCTCTCTCTGGAATTGCTGGTATAGTAGCATTGTATCAATTCAGTGTTCTCCGCCCTTGTCCATGTATGTCTTGTTCCAGTAACCCATTTGCCATCAGATTGCCCTGGTTCCCTAGCAAGTAATGATGTCCGAGCTGGTATGACTCTATCTTACGAATGAACCCTTACTATGTTCTGCACATACTACATATATATATATATATATATATGTGTGTGTGTGTGTGTGTGTGTGTATGCTCCAGCTGGATAAAGAAAACAGAACGCCCTTTTGTCCACTGATTGGACAGTTTGTAACTCATTTGTAGCTTAAAACTTGGGATGGCACACACAGATAGGAGTTTTGTGTATCCTGTTCAAAATTTAACTTCACATATACAAAATATTTTTACAGCTAGAAAAAAAACATTTTACAGATGTGCAAATTAATCTGTGTGAACCAAACTTTTTCACACAAGCACAAAATATTTTTACAGCTATAAAAGCTTTTTTGCACATTCACACATTGAATTTGTGAGAAAATTATTTGTGAACATCACCTCAAAATGTTAATGACCCTTATTTGAATAGATAATTCTGGTGCCAGCATCTGTACCTACTTATGTTTAAAAAGGTTATGGCAGCATTTGCATCCTTGTTACAATACGTAATATTCATGACATGTTGGCAGTCCTCCAAAGGGCAAAACTATGCACAGCGCCAAATGCTTCTACACATCTTTAATTCAAGTCTTCTATGTTTTTTCAAGTCAAGCATCTTAAGTAGGTCAAAGTTCAAGGCATACATGTCTACATCAAACTGAGTTATTTTCTCAAGTCTACAAATCTGTTTTGTTTTTAACAGACCTGGTCAGCAAGTGAAACAACTCTGAAATCACACCTGTGACTCCAGTAGAAAACACACAAATATAAAATTGGATTTGAAATTGACTGCAGGTAAATCATTCACTGGACAGTTTTAGTGAGGTACATTCCAGCAACACTAACCTGTATAGCAGTCTCAGGACATTAATTTGGTTTGACTGTCAGCATTTTCACCACTACAAATGAACCAACCTAATTACATCACTTTGATGAATGGATTATAGGGTTTAAGAATGTGCTTGTCAGTTCTTTAGCCAAAAGAAACTAACAAGCCATTAGTCAGAGGGAATTCTAAATGCTGTCATTTGAACTCAGTTTATGGAAACATCAGCAATGAGTGGAAATCCTGGTTTACTGAGGACAAGGGTGGAGAGGCTTGTTTTAGTAAAAACTAAACCACAGTGACTGTTGCTCAAAATTCTATCTCACAGCATCCCTGCAGACACTGTACAGCATTCTACTAAATTACACACACACAGTAAGAAAACACAAAGGGACACCCTCTCTATTTTCCTTCAGTTAAGGTTGGCGTAATTACTCGCTTAATCCAAGCACCCTCTATGAGAAACCATTACAGAGGAGACGCTGAACACAGAGAAGTAAACACATTAGAGCATCAAACACATTATACTGCACTGCTCTCAAACACTCACAGAGCAAGCGTCGCTTTTCATAGAGGCGGAAAAGGAAAGATTTCGAAAAAGCTGTACCTTTGCTTTTAGCTAGGAGAGCAGGAGGAGGCGAAGACAGAACAGAGGATCCACAGCCGAGAGAACCCAGACAGGGACGAAGAAGAGGAGGAGACATAAGTTCAAGTTCTAGCAGACAGCTAACATATCAGTGTACATATGAATACATGTCATGAGGATAGATTAATGTACAATAGCAGCTGTACCTACCTCAAAAAAAAACACCTGAAACATGCAACCACATAAGGCATTACAGGATCTTTGAATGTCACAACAACACTGCCCTACAAAGGCAGACATTACTCACTACACAAAAAGTGGAAGTTGGAGTTAGAATTTTCAGGGTTTCCAGGTAAACTGTGTAACACATAGATCGTTTGTAATGCCTGTATTTTATGCTTTTGTAGGACCAAAATATTAGACTGTAAACAGATGTTTTTGTTCACTGGGTAAAACAACTGATGCTCTCATTTTTCATCTATTGTATGTCTGTCTCTGACATAATGTGACATGACAAAATGTGACATTTACCACAGTAAATCATGTGAATTGATTTCTGCTATTCTGAGTAAGGCTAGGCTAGTTACCTTTTACAATACTGCAAGCAGATGCTCCTTATTCTCCATCAGAACTGCATTTAGTTACTACCTGTTGTTCGAATAAAATACATAATGACAAGCTTTACCTTAACAAAGCCAGTGATTAAGCCAGAGTATGTAGTAGTATATAAAATGTCACAAAGCACTTTTGACCAAATATGTAGTATGCAATTTGGCTTTGTAGGGCAGTACAGTATGGAATTTGCCATAAAAAAGAACAAATATGTCAGTAAGTAATTAAGAAAATTTGGAAACATAAAAAGAGGTAAATAAAAAGAATCAATACATGTGAAAATTTAAAGACAAATAAAATATGAAAGAATAGTTCTAATCATGCATTTATTTTTACATTTATTTGTTTATTTATTCCTCAGTATACAGTACAGGCCAAAAGTTTGGACACACCTTCTCATTCAATGTGTTTTCTTTATTTTCATGACTATTTACATTGTAGATTCTCACTGAAGGCATCAAAACTATGAATGAACACATGTGGAGTTATGTACTTAACAAAAAAAGGTGAAATAACTGAAAACATGTTTTATATTCTAGTTTCTTCAAAATAGCCACCTTTTGCTCTGATTACTGCTTTGCACACTCTTGGCATTCTCTCCATGAGCTTCAAGAGGTAGTCACCTGAAATGGTTTCCACTTCACAGGTGTGCCTTATCAGGGTTAATTAGTGGAATTTCTTGCTTTATCAATGGGGTTGGGACCATCAGTTGTGTTGTGCAGAAGTCAGGTTAATACACAGCCGACAGCCCTATTGGACAACTGTTAAAATTCATATTATGGCAAGAACCAATCAGCTAACTAAAGAAAAACGAGTGGCCATCATTACTTTAAGAAATGAAGGTCAGTCAGTCCGGAAAATTGCAAAAACTTTAAATGTGTCCCCAAGTGGAGTCGCAAAAACCATCAAGCGCTACAACGAAACTGGCACACATGAGGACCCACCCAGGAAAGGAAGACCAAGAGTCACCTCTGCTTCTGAGGATAAGTTCATCTGAGTCACCAGCCTCAGAAATTGCAAGTTAACAGCAGCTCAGATCAGAGACCAGATGAATGCCACACAGAGTTCTAGCAGCAGACCCATCTCTAGAACAACTGTTAAGAGGAGACTGTGCGAATCAGGCCTTCATGGTCAAATAGCTGCTAGGAAACCACTGCTAAGGAGAGGCAACAAGCAGAAGAGATTTGTTTGGGCCAAGAAACACAAGGAATGGACATTAGACCAGTGGAAATCTGTGCTTTGGTCTGATGAGTCCAAATTTGAGATCTTTGGTTCCAACCGCCGTGTCTTTGTGAGACGCAGAAAAGGTGAACGGATGGATTCCACATGCCTGGTTCCCACTGTGAAGCATGGAGGAGGAGGTGCGATGGTGTGGGGGTGTTTTGCTGGTGACACTGTTGGGGATTTATTCAAAATTGAAGGCACGCTGAACCAGCATGGCTACCACAGCATCCTGCAGCGACATGCCATCCCATCCGGTTTGCGTTTAGTTGGACGATCATTTATTTTTCAACAGGACAATGACCCCAAACACACCTCCAGGCTGTGTAAGGGCTATTTGACCAAGAAGGAGAGTGATGGAGTGCTGCGGCAGATGACCTGGCCTCCACAGTCACCGGACCTGAACCCAATCGAGATGGTTTGGGGTGAGCTGGACCGCAGAGTGAAGGCAAAGGGGCCAACAAGTGCTAAACACCTCTGGGAACTCCTTCAAGACTGTTGGAAAACCATTTCAGGTGACTACCTCTTGAAGCTCATGGAGAGAATGCCAAGAGTGTGCAAAGCATTAATCAGAGCAAAGGATGGCTATTTTGAAGAAACTAGAATATAAAACATGTTTTCAGTTATTTCAACTTTTTTTGTTAAGTACATAACTCCACATGTGTTCATTCATAGTTTTGATGCCTTCAGTGAGAATCTACAATGTAAATAGTCATGAAAATAAAGAAAACGCATTGAATGAGAAGGTGTGTCCAAACTTTTGGCCTGTACTGTATATTTATAAATTACTTCCTGTTTTTGTGTGTGTGTGTGTGTGTGTGTGTGTATGTATATATATATATATATGTATATATATACACATATATACACATACACACATATACATACGTGCATGTGTAATTTTTATTAATTATAATAATAGTAGTAGTAGTAGTAGTAAGAAAAATAATAATAAATGTATTTATTACCTGCCTCGACAACATTTCAACGACCTGTTGTCACCTGATGAGTCTGTTGTTGTTTGTGTGTGTCATTATACTCTATACTCTGTGAAGCAAACCTGCTGGCTCACAGGTTTGCTTCATCTAAGCCTGAGGCTGATCGCCTGCTGAGCGTGTAGCAGGAAGGAGACACATGGTGTGTCCTTTTGTGAGTAAAGTTGTTGTGTTGTGTGTTAAGGAATTACTGGAACAGATATTGAGTGTAATGTCGAGCTGCTTTAATGCTGAACCATATTAATATTGATCAAGCTTCCGCACATTCGACAACACAAGATACAGAGCTTCCGCTCGAACTACTTCCTGTTACCAACCTTTCAAAATAAGAGCATGAAGCAATGTATTGAACACAACCACATAAGTCGTGGACGTTGAGGCACAAATTCAGAGACCGTTGGGTAAGGAGATGGTGATTAGACCCTGTTTGGATGTCTTATCGTTCCCGGAGGAGTGTCTATATGAAAGATACAATTTCACCTCACACTCAATTGATCTTAACAATCTGTTCCACCCACATATATATCAAATATTACACAGCATGGATTTACTTTATCATCGGAGCAGAGACGGCTGTTTGTCGGGCCGTAAGAAAAGTGACTCTGGTTCTGGAAAAACTTTTGCCCATTTTTGTGGTTTTCCCTGGACATAAATCAGTGAGGATCATCACAGAGGAATTCCACAGAACTGCAGATTTGTCAGTTTTAATAAGAAATTAATCTACGCAGATACATTATGCAATGATTTATGAATACTTTTAATATTTTCAAAGATCCCATCGTGTAACAGGCTGCATTTATGGGACTCACATCCACATCATAGCTCCGTCTAAGAATAAAGGAGATTACGCAAATAGGAAGTCATTTCACAGCAATTCAATTAACCTGAGCCTAATACTGACAGAATGACACAAGTATAAGCAAAATCTTTACCAGTCTACAATATTTTTGTGTTTGATTTTGAGTTGCTGCCAAGTGCATTTGGGCCCCATCAGATTACGGCTGAATAACAGGATATAACAAATTTTATTAAAATATGTGAACACTGTTAAGATATAAAAATGTTGCTGTATCTTTATAAGCCACGCATTAACTCATCACATTACATAGCGTCACTTGACATTACCTATTAACACACTCTGCAACTTTTAAAAATATGTCCCTAGTTCACATTCATTTGAAGTCGTGGATTGCTGTATTGTGGCTGGAGTTATCCCATTGCAAGATGGTCTCTAGTGTTTATTTAATGACATTTATTTATTTCTTCCGTTTAATTTTCCTCATTCTTTTACCTCATTGCTTTTGCTATTCCTTGACAAACCAGGCTGAGTAGTCTTTTTCTGCACATCTGAACCCTTCTGTGGCAGGAGCTTTTTAGCATAGACATATGGTAAAAAGTATTTGTAATAGACAGTACCTGTGGTATATGCAGTACCAACATTAGAAAGCAGTTCTCTTTTAGTCCCCTCAAGGAGAAATTCATTTTTCTTCCTCTGTTGTTATTTTACAGATTACACACACATGCCTGAAATACAGACACATGCATAAACAGTGCCTAATTGAGAGATGTCAGAGTGAGGGGGCTACTCATGGAGGTGCCCTGAGTAGTTGGGGATTTGTTGCCTGGTTCTAGGGGACCTCAGCAGTGCCCAGGAATATGAACCGGCACTTCTCCAGCTACTAGTCCACACTCTGTGCTTGGTCCATACGGGGGACTAGAACCAATGACCCTCTGGTTCCCCAAGCCAATTCCCCACATGCTGAGCTACTGCCACCACTATTGTACAGTATGTGCCCCCTGTGTAGTGCCTGTTGTATGCAGTACATCCAGTGTGCAGTAGTGTTGTGTCGTTCACGAAGGAATCGTTCAAAAGAATGAATCTGCTGAGTGAACGTACTGAACTGAATCACTTCCAGAACTGATTCGTTCATTTCTCAGTTCAGTTGAGCTCAGCAGCTAGCTTTCAGGCCAGGAGTGGAACTGCCGATTCAGTCCGTGTAAAACATGAATCAATCACGAGTCGCAAAGCAGCCAGAGTACAGGGAGGGACTGCCTACCGTGTGACAAATCACTTGGAGAACGAATCACTAGGTGAACGACGTAACCACAATCCCTGAGTGATTCAAATCATTTCTTCTCAGCAATACACTTTCATAGGGACTGTTTTCTCCAAGCTAACGGCTAATGTAGCCAGGAATCAAGCCGCATGAACACAATCACACACCTCCCCATTGTTTTAACAGACTTAGTTTCCAGATAAACAAACTTAAAATGTTAGGCTGGCCAGTAATGAGACTCACCAGTGCAGGGCAGACACAGCAGCAGCTCAGCCGTGTATCAGTTCAGTGAGTCGGACTACACAGTACACAGTCCGGGCTTGGGATGGGCACCAATTTTCGATTATCGATGATTGATTGTTAAGGCTTTTGATCGATCACAAATAATTTTGATCGATAGTCGCAGTGTTTCCCCTACAATGCCTGGCATAGGTCCGGCGAGCCGCCATGCCAACGAGACCCTTCCACCCAGCGAGCACGGCGGCTCGACGGGCCTACGAGACCCCCGCCGGACCTATGCCAGGCAAAAAAATCAGAAACAGACGGAGGCTCTCATCACTCTCCAAAGCCTCGGTGGCTTCCCTTGAGGCCTCTGAAAACACTACGCCATTGAAAGACGGAGGTTTTGCTGAAAACTGAAGCCTGTAACTCTGGCTGGCAATGTAAACACCCAGGGGTGAACTGCACATGCGCGCCATTCTTCCTCTTTGGCCTGGGGAGGTTGAAGCTCAAAACTGGGGCAGCTGCGCTCTCTTGCGGCGACAGTCTGCACTGCACTCTTTTGTTTTCTCTCTTTTGAAATACTCGCTTATCAATTAATCGATAATTGATCGTTAATTTTTTTGATGATCGAATAATGAATTTTGATCATTTGCCCATCCTCCAGCCAAGCATTGAACAATTCGGTGAACAAATTTTTTGAACGAATCTTTTGAACAAATCTTTTTAATGAACTGATTCTAGTGATTCAGTAACATCTAAAGAACTGCTTTGCCCATCACTAGTGTGCAGTACCTGCAGTATGTAGTACATGCATTAAGCGATACCTGTAGTAGGCAGTACCTGAAGAAGGCAGTACATATAGTATGCAGTACTTAAAGTAGGCAGTGCATGTAGCATGCAGTGCTGGAATTAGGCAGGACATGTAGTATGTAGTACCTGCAACATTTAATACAAGTAGTATGTGGTACCTGCCATGTTTAGTACTGTACAAGTAGCCATAATGGGTTTTTTTTTTGTCCTGGATTCAAACCACTACCACACTTACCCTGCGCTTGTGCAAGTACTGGAATGGACTACTAAGCCTGGGCAGAAAGATCCACCCAATGTAAGCTGCAATACTACATACTACATGTACTACATACTGCAAGTACTACACCCTACATGTACAATATACTACATTTACCATACACTTCATGTGTTACATTCAACAAGTACTATATACATTTACTGCATAATACATGTACTACATACCACTACATGTCCAAAAAGCTCCCACCAAAGAAAGATTCACATGTGCAGAATCTGACTACTCAACTTGGCCACAAATCAATTTGTGTGTGTGTGTGTGTGCGCGCGCGTACGTGCATGCGTGTAAATAAATAAAAGTATATTTTTGAAAATATATAAATAAGTACTTAAAGTATACCCAGAATAAAAAAAAACAAATAAATGTAAACAACTAATATAGTTATTCTTTATATTTTTGTTTCTGTCTATTTTTCACATTCTTATTCTTTTACAGATTTATTCTTTTTTTATGGCACTCCTATGATCCCATTATACAGCAGTTAATTAAATCAAACAATAAATCACAATGTATATCACTATGCACAGTAGGGAACCATGCAGTTTTACCAACAGCAAAACATGCAGCTCCACACTACAATCCAAAACAAAAACAAAGACGTGATAGAGAAGAGGGAAAGGAAGGCATACCTTGTTCTGCCATCATGTGTGCAAGGCCTTGAGAACATTAGAGAGGGAAAAAAGAGAGGAAAGGGAAACATGACAAAGAACAATTGAGAAAAGCACACCGTTTCAATACTTTTTGGTATTGTGATGATATATGTTTTCCCAGGAAGGAAAGCATGACATCAGAACACACTAGTCACACAGAGCGTCATGTGGCTTTCTTCGTAAGAAATACCAACATTTTAGTATCAGTGATAGGCTGTAAAACACATTCAGCCGCCTCTCCATCTTCAACCCAGTTCAGTAAGAGCTCACATTCACTGCCCTGGTGTATGGATTTAACTCTCACAGGTCTTGTAAAATTCACAATATCATTAACTACAAGACCCATAAGCCATCAGGACAATCTCTGGCTTTTCATCGGCTCTGAGGCCAAAGGAAGTAGGGGAGGCATTTCCTTCAATACAAATGTCAAATGTCCAGCGGTGAAAAGTGACTTATTTACACTTCTACAGACTACTTTGTTTTAGGTTTAGTCAGACTTGGGATTAAATTATTTTTTAAACACAAGGACAGATTGCTCTGTGTCTCTTGTTACAGCCACTCTGGGCTGTGCTTTCATTATCAGGGCAGATTTAGTGATTCTGGGGCCTAGGGCCCCAGGCACACTCTGTCTTGCTATATATTCACCCATCTTCTACTCTAACTGGGAATGTTGGTAGGTTATCAGGAACTGTTTTTAATTTATTTATTTATTTATTTATTTATTTATTTATTAAGTAAAACTATTAACAGCCCACAGCAAGTTAAAGTCAAAGTCCCTGCAGTAAGCAGAGGTATAATTAGCACAATGTACTTACATTTACTAAGTCTGTCTGTCTGTCTGAGGTGTAGATTTTAATTATTAGATAATAATGGATAATGAACAATAATGCATCATAGTGGGTGAAAATTTGAATAGGCAACATCACCAGTAACCTTTATTGGTCAGGTAAATGTATGGGTACAGTGTTTTCCTCTGGTGCTTAGTCTTTTGCAAGTTATATGGGGATACAATGAGCTAGAATAGTTACATAATTCAGTATTTTCATATCTAAACATTATAATCTATAACTGTTTGGGCCATTTCAATTGGGGGACTGATGATATTGTTCCCGTGGAGCCTTTATGTAAAATTAACAGGTTGGGTTGGGATCAGATAGTTGCTGTGAGGCCATTTCATTTATCCAAAATGTTTATACTTTGTTGGAATTGTTAGACTTTGAAGACGGTCCCTTGATTATTGAGGATAGCAATGATTTATCATTGTTTAACCAGGCTGAAATTATCCAAATCATATTGCGATGTGCTGTAAAGCTATTTTTCCTTGTTTGACCTTGAAGATGGCCTGTCAGCTTGCAACCTATTAATTTTTTAAGCTACATAATGTTTGAACAAATTTAATTTCAAATATGAAATAAGCATTCTTTTAATAATGATTTTCTGTCCTAGTTCACCTGGTTATACACTCAACAAAAATATAAACGCAACACTTGTTTTTGCTCCCATTTTTCATGAGCTGAACTCAAAGATCTAAAACATTTTCTGTATACACAAAAGACCATTTCTCACAAATATTGTTCACAAATCTGTCTAAATCTGTGTTAGTGAGCACTTCTCCTTTGCCGAGATAATCCATCCCACCTCACAGGTGTGGCATATCAAGATGCTGATTAGACAGCATGATTATTGCACAGGTGGGAGCAAAAACAAAAGTGGTGCGTTTATATTTTTGTTCAGTGCACTTTTCTCAGTGTATTCTTGGTTTTCGTAACACCATCAATCAAACTAATCTAGACTACAGTAGGTGGTGTGGAAATGTAAGAAATTTGTTTTAAATTACAATTGCATCTTTCTTCCTGGTTGCAAACTTTGTTCTTTCTTTCTGACAGCATGGTCATCCTATTAGACTGTGATGAAGCAGTGAAATACCTTTAAGCTGGAACTGTTCACCAGTTGTTTCTAATTGCAGAATCACAATCTATATTTGTATTTCCTTAGCCTGTCTGGAAATATGCAGCTATAGAAATGATTGTTTTGGTGGTCATATATTTTCATAGCTTTCTTTCAAACTCACCTGGCATATTGTTGTTGACCTCTGAAATACAATGAGAGAGAGAAAACAAGCACACAAAGCCAGCATTAGAAACACTCTTATTATTTGCATGTTGACTGTCATGCAAAATATTGCACACTTCATAGTCCATACAGAGGGCTGGCAGTGTGCACAGCCATGTGTATGTCATTTACAATGCAGAACATTTTAGCTGTGAGGTGTTAAAGCAGTAACATTTGGTTTGGAACCATCATTCAGTCCCGACAAATTTCAGAGAGAAATATCCAATGCAAAGTAAAAGGCATCCAGGCTTCACTCCATGTGTAAACTCACTAGTAACTTTTAGTATTTCTGTTATCTTTCATTTCAGACACATAACCTCATCATATCCTCAGGTGCTGTTGCTAAATTATAAATACAGAGAAATAGGCAACATAAAACCCAAAATAAGTTCAACCTTCAAGTTACTGTTAGTAAAGTCCAAGAACTGAAAGAACAAATGTAAAGATTTAAATCCCACATTCCAGCAGCTAAAATAAAGATGTTTATCACACTGATGATTTTGCTATTGTCAGAGCCCTGTGGTGAAAAAGTGTCAAGTTAATAAAAGCAGTGAAGCTGACATAAAAATCCAGGATTCCAATGGAAACAATGAACATCCAAAGCAAAACTTTATAAGCTTTTATTATAAATTAAAATGACAGTCAATTGAAAACTTTGACCTGAAGGTAGCAAGGGTCCAAAAAAATACTCTCTGAATAGTGTCCGTTTCTAAGCAAGAGACAGCACTGGTGATCGTACAAATTTTGAAAAAGGGAAAAACACCAGCACTCTCAAATGTCCTTTTAGTAAGTTTAATCAACCAGCTTGGATGGCAGTACCAGTACACAACAGACATTTTGACAGAAAGTCTTCTTCAGTGTGTAACTATGGTAACGGAAATGGTGTTTAAGTACACTCGAAGCAATCAGAGCAGGTGTGTGAAAAAAACACTTAACACTTCCCCAATAAAATGTAGTACCAACTCACAGGCACAGAAAAAAACAAAAAACAATCTTAAGAAAGTATGTCACAGCTAATAGCAGTAGATGCACCGAAAACAGATGTACATATGCACAATATACACTGTTCATACAAAAAGGCACTGTGAACAACAGTAGGGGGCAGAGTAAGTCCCAAAATCTCAATTAACAATCAGATCATAAATGCACAGGAAAAGAATTGCATAAAGTCATTGAGTAACTGTCCCTCAATTACCAATCAGATCACAAGTGCGCATACAGAAAGGCACAGCAAACAGCAAAGGTATATGCATAAGGGTACAGAGTAAGTACCAAATTCTCAATTAACAATCAGATCATAAGTGCAGAGGAAAAGACTTGCAAAAAGTCACTGAGTAACTGTCCCTCAATTAACAATCAGATCACAAGTGTACATAAAGAAAGACACAGTAAACAGTAAAAAATATGTGTATAAGGGGGCAGAGTACCTTTGCTGTTTGCTTCTCAGGTAACAGTCATCTGATTATTAGATCTCTCACAGAGGTCCCTATTGTCTTTGGTGCGTTTATTATTATTATTATTATTATTATTATTATGCCGAGGACCCTATTATTTCTGGTACGTTTATTATTATTATTATTATTATTATTATTATTAGGGACAGAGCCCGTAGGCAGAGGGCTCTCGCCCTATTGTTATTGCTGCATTTATTAGGGACAGAGCCCGTAGGCAGAGGACTCCTCTTGCCAAAGGCGAGGACCCTATTGTTATTGCTGCACTCTTTATTCTTCCCCCGTTATTCTTCCCCCGTTAAAGGGGGTTTTTGGGGAGTTTTTCCTTATCCGCTGCGAGGGTCCTAAAACAGAGGGATGTCGTATGCTGTAAAGCCCTGTGAGGCAAATTGTGATTTGTGATATTGGGCTTTATAAATAAAATTAATTGATTGATTGATTGATTGATTGATTGATTGATATCTTCAGCAGTTTGGTTTTCAGAAGCCATCAAAGTTCCAATTCCAAATCATGTTGTCTGCCTTTCCCTAGGTAAATTTATAAGGAACAACACTGAATGTTTGTGGGTATTTCTCATCATCACACACACCTGACATTACACACATTGACCAAACAGAACAACTCATGTGGCTCATTCCTACAACTTCCTAAATAAATGCCTGATAGCAAAAATACAAGATACAAGGTCAAACTCTTTTGCCTCATTTAGAATTTGAATCAAATCTGTAGCTAAAACTATGCTGCAGCAGTACACAATCATATGCATGTTTGCCTGCTCAGTTTTTCCACTAAAATTAACTAATATATATTCGTGTCTGCCTGCTGTTACTTTTGTCCTCACAGCAGCCAGTACACAGCAATCAAGCTTTCACTAGATCACGATATCAAATGAATATGGATGTGTCGTTTGATCATCACCCATGTCAAAGTTTCTGTCTACAACTTTCAAAATATACGCTCACACCACCTTCATAAGAACCCTTTACTTTTTTAAAAATGAACTTGATAATGACCGAATTCATTTGTTGTACACCCAAGCTCTTCAACAGGTCAAGAGGTTTTAAATTACTTTAAAAATTACCTTAAAAGTATTTCCATTTATTTTCATCAATATTATTTATAATAATAATGATGATAATAAACATCATTATTATTATTATTATTATTAGGGCGCGAGAACCTAGCGGTGTGAGGACCCTATTGAAATGCAAGGATTTTTTATTATCATTATTATTATTAGGGCCCGAGCACCTAGCGGTGTGAGGGCCCTATTGAAATGCATCAATTTTGGCCAAACTTCACAGGATTGATGACAGTCCCGCCCTGAACACATCTACATGCCAATAATCTGAGATAAACATAGCGCCCCCTACTGGCAATGGGAAATGTCATGTTTTAGATTTTAATGTACATCTCCTACAGTCTTGACCAGATCCACTTCAAACTTGGTGAAAAAAGTCATAAGACGTTGATGATGCTTTATTGTGGAAACTGTGAGTTTTCGTCAAAGGGCGTGGCCACGGCCTGGCGGCGAACTTTGATGTTTCGCCGTGATGATAAACATTGCTGTAACTTGACTCCACTTGGGAATATCTTGCCAAAACTTCACACATATGATGACAGTCCAGCCCTGAACACATCTACAGAGGAATTTTGAATCACCACCATAGCGCCACCTTCTGGCAACAGAAAGCTACTTTATACATTCTTTGATGTCCTGCTTCTAGCAGGTTAATCAGACCCACCTCAAACTTGCTGGTCTAAATCCTTAGACCTTGATGATGCTTAAAAATGAAGCTTTTTAGTTTTCATCAAACGCTGTCACCGTGGCGCCACCTTGTTCGCCATCAAACACGATGTTGTTTTGAAGGGACAAGGGATGCTTGAAAACTCACCAAATGTGGCATACACATCACAGGTCACAAGTCCTGTTGTCTGATGTGATTTTTGTGCTTTGATGCACCAAGATGGCTCAACAGCGCCCCCTAGAATATTTCAATTAAGCAGCCCCCAAAGCTGCTTTGACCTGCATGTATGAAACTTGGTAGGCACCTGTAACACTCTATTACGTACAAAAAAGTCTCTTGGAGTGATGCTCCAAACCCAACAGGAAGTCCGCCATTTTGAATTTACTTGTGCCACTTTTGTGCGTTTTTGCCCATTTCCAGGGCTTGTAAATTAACGAACTTGTCCTACAGATTTAATCAGATTGGCTCCAAACTTGGTGTATGTAAGCGTGACTACGTTGTGACCAAAAGTTATCACAGGATTTGCCCAATGTTGAATGGCGCGCCCGCTGCCGAGCGTTGAATCTTGAGGTCTCGCCATGAAAAACGAAATTGCTGTAGCTCTGGCATAAATGGTCCAATCTCCACCAAACTTCACATGATTCATATTAGTCCCGCCCTGAACACATTTTCATTACCATATTGCCTGATAATCATAGCGCCACCTAGTGTCGAAAGGAAGTACTTCTTATCAGACACTTATCTTTGGATTAACCTGAAATTTCAATGCTGTGGTCTATATTTGATGTTCACAAACATGACATATCATTAGTGTCTACGTGTGCTGCAGAGGGTTTAATTTTGATGTCTCGCCATGAAACAGGAAATTGCTATAAATTTGGAGTAAATGGTCCGTTGTCCACCAAACTTGACATGATTCATATTTGTCCCACCCTGAACACATTTATATGACAATATTCCGTGATAGTCATAGTGCCACCTAGTGGTGAAAGGAAGTACTTCTTACCAGACACTTATCTTTGGATTCACCTGAAATTTCAGTGCTGTGGGTTATATTTGATGTGCACAAACGTGACATATCATTACTGTCTACGCGTGCTGCAGAGGGTTTACTTTTGATGTCTGGCCATGAAACGGGAAATTGCTATAAATTTGGAGTAAATGGTCCGTTGTGCACCAAACTTCACGATTCATATTAGTCCCGCCCTGAACACATTTTCATTACCATATTGCCTGATAGACCCACCTAGTGGCAACAGGAAGTAGGTCTCATCAAACACTTATCTTTCGATTTATCTGAAAGTTACATGCTGTGGTGTATATTTGATGTACAAAAACATGATGTATAATTTGTGCTCTCTCCAACTCCCTCTAGTAGAAAGAGGAAGTGACACAAAATGTGAAATATGTCATTCCAGCACTGTATCAAGGATATGCGGAGTCACTCCTGCATGCGATATCTAACTTTGACAGAAATGAACTGACGCGTCAGAAGGCGTCCTGCCGAGTTGCGTGAAGGTGCGAGGGCCCGTTCATCGCTGCTTGCAGCTTTAATTATTATTATTATTCTTACGAACATTAAATCCCCAATTTCGCCCCTTTCTCAAATTCAAAAATTCACCAAAGTTGGCACACGCGTTTGGTCTAGCGAAAAATTTGATATTTTGGCAGTGTTGTATGTGGATGGAGTCAAATGGCGACATAGCGCCCCCTCCTCTTGGACCAATTACGTAAACCCAACAGGAAGTCAGCCATTTTGATTTGAATTTTTGACATGTTTG